AATCTTTCCACGTGTGAAGAAAACCAGCATGCCAACGGTCTTCTTTTGTGTACTGTTTTCATTCAGGACATGGGCAATCATGGCTCTCCATAAGTTCCTATCCTTTGTAGTTCTTTCCTATTTGTATTGCAATAATCCTCAAGTTTTATTATTTGTATACATTGAAACTTCACATTAGCAGGACTTTCCCTGGAGATCGAGTGATAGCAAGGCTTTTCAATACTCCAGCACTTTCCTTAGTATTTTTGATTTTAGTAATGATGTTATCTGCATGATTTCAGTTCTCCACTGAATTTCTATTTATTCTATTTTTGCAAGGCCATTTAGGAATATTCCATGTGCTTAGTATATAAAAGGTCTGAAATTCTAAAATTCAGTACTTAAAGTACAAATTGTCATATGAGGAAAAAAACATTATCACTAACTTAAAGATACACAAAGGAAAAAAAGAAACCATATGTCTATATTTCTGAGATAAGACTATTTACATTGTTTGGACTGTTGTCCTCATCTTTATTGCCATATTCACATTTCAGCCATTGTACACTCCAGCCTTCTTCAAGTAATATACATTGGAATTTAAAAACAAACCATTTATTTAGTCCACCGAGGAAGGTTGTTTCATATAGACATATGATGAAAGCATTGGTTGAAGTAATTCAGTGACTTGACGCAAAAAGTTGAGCGTTCAATACCTAGCCACAGCAGAGGTGAACAAAAACTTGGAGAGTTGAGTTACTAAAGGGAAATAACTGAAACTAATATATCCAGAAAAGGCATGGCATGTGGAACTAGAACAATCTGCTTAGTTGACTAAATAAAGGATTCAGTTTGAAATTCCAACATATATCACTTGAATAAGGCCGGAGTGTACAACATCTGAGATGTCATGAATCTTACTTATTATAAAACGCAGATTGTGTGTGTGTGTCTGTACGTTTATATATCAGATCGGATTTCCTACATTTTTCAACCAATTTCAACAAAGCTTCACAGGACTACATAAAATTACCTTGCGGTGGTTCTGACAGCGCCAAAAATTGGAAAAACACAATTGTTTTTGCACGAAATCAATTTGAAAACACGATTAAGAAGCATCACGTGAATGAAAGGGGGACATCTCATATCGAGTTATACTTATTATAAAACCCAGGTTGTGTGTGTGTGTGTGTGTGTGTGTGTGTTCATTTATATATGGGATTGGATTTCCTACATTTTTCAACCGATTTCAACAAAACTTCACTTTTTTTTTGGCAGGTAGTGTTATTGTCTTGCACACTTTTTTCTTTATTTTTACATTCAGAATGCTTTAAAAATTCTATTTACAAGACAATTGTTTATAATAAAATTCTATTCAATCGGTAGACTCATAACGATTGAAAACAATGTTTTTGTTTTAGTTTGGGTTTGACCAATTCGTAAAAAAAAAAAAAAAAAAAAAAACTAATTAAAACATGTCTTTCTGTCAACCTTAAACAATAATCTTTGTCAATTTTATTTTTCAGTCTTTATGATGGTCGATACTTGATCTATCTCTTACTGTTACATCTCCGGGGAACGCCGGGCTCTACTGCTAGTATGATAATAAAGATGAAGGCAACAGTTCAAACAATGTAAATAATGTAAAAAGAAACCACTTAAAAATAATTTCTGTCAGAATTTCTGGGATGAGGGGTTACTTACAGTCAGACTAATGTCCTCAATTTTCATATGATCATGCATTGGTTATTATGTTCTCCTGCCTTCTTCGTGAATCTGTCAGTCTGGGTAAATTTAGGGAATTTTGAACTGAATAGATTACACTGGGGAACATTTTCTAAAATTATTTTAGTCGTCTTGCTTTTTACAATTGTTCCTACCTAACTGAATGGTGCCAAGTTCAAAAATGCTCTCAGAAATTTTCTATAACATAAAGTTAATTGTTAAACAGGAATTCATTTTTTACCAAAATGTGTCAATTTTACTATTAAATGCAAGTTTGATTTGGTTTGGTTTGTTTAACATCATATCAACTCCTTATGGGTCATTTAATGCCAGAATTTTAGTTTCTTTTGAGCTTTGGTATTTTTTCTAAAAATGTATTGTTGGTAATTTTTTCTAATGTATTTTTATATTTTCATCTTTTGATCCCAATTTGGGGGTTCATTCTTTACCCATAGCTTGGACTCTAGAAGGTGATACCACCCCAGGTCAAGGTGGATCTGGGAAAAACCGCAATTAAGAAGTGGTTCTATGCTCCTCAAAACCTCACAATCTGAGGCCTTGCTGCCAGATGTAGTTTATTGCCATACTCAGGACAATGCAATTTTGAAATAAGAAACTAAAACAAATCAACTAGTACATTTTACTGTATAACAAATGTATTACACACAAAATGTTCAATTACACATCTTAGGATAGATATTTCTGTCAAACTGGAGTTTAAGCTACTCAAGAAATTAACCTTCTCTTTGCTGCTTTGCATGAAAAATGAACTTTGTCCCCAGTACAAGCAGGTTCTTTTTTTTTTAAATGTGACTCAAACAGCTTTTTTTTTAATCAGATTTACTCCAAGCAAGTCAGTAGACACAAGAGGTGTGAAAGAATTAGAAAACATTATGAAGGAGCAAGACAATAGAAGAGTAATCAGGAAGACAATAAATAATCTTACTTATTATAAAATGCAGATTGTGTGTGTGTGTGTGTGTGTGTGTGTGTGTGTGTGTGTGTGTGTCTGTACATTTATATATTGGATCGGATTTCCTACATTTTTCAACCGATTTCAACAAAACTTCACAGGACTGCATAAAATTACCTTGCGGTGATTCTGACAGCACCAAAAATTGGAAAAACACAACTGTTTTTGCATGAAATCAATTTGAAAACACGATAAAACACGATTCTGTCCCCAGAATGAAAGGGGGACATCGAGTTATACTTATTATAAAACCCAGGTTGTTTGTGTGTGTGTGTGTGTTCGTTTATATATCGGATCGGATTTTCTACATTTTCAACTGATTTCAACAAAACTTCACTTTTTTGGCAGGTAGTGTTTCTTTTTGTCTTGCACACTTTTTTCTTTATTTTTACATTCAGAATGCTTTAAAAATTCCATTTACAAGACAATTGTTTATAACAAAATTCTATTCAATCAGTAGACTCATAACGATTGAAAACAATGTTTTTGTTTGAGTTTGGGTTTGACCAATTCGTAAAAAAAAACTATTTAAGACGTGTTTCCATCAACCTTAAACAATACTCTTTGTCAATTTTATTTTTCAGTCTTGATCTATCTCTTACTGTTGAATCCATTACATGAATATATATGAATCCTCTTCTTCTCCCCCCAGCTATGGGTAAATAGTAGGATAGACTGGGTTCTATAGTCTTGGATAGCAACTGGTCTACTGCAGAAAGAAATGGCAACCTACTGCTGGAAAAAAATCTGCCTCGTCAGTCATGTATAAAATTCAAGGAATCAATTTTTGTACTGCTTAATGTTTATATTAGTTATATGCAGAAAACCTTGGAGAATTTAAATAAATTTTTTTTTCTAAAACAAAATCCCTAGTTACTGAAAATCTGCTTTAAATCATAAAATAAAAATACAATAAAATGAAGGCATTATTTAATTAAAAAAGCTTTTAATTGCTTTTATGAATAAGATGGACACTATTGCCTTAAGAAAAATTATTTTATGAATAATGAATTATTACAAGAATTGTTTTCATTTTTTTAAATTTTAAATCTTTTTGCGTTAATTTGAAACAGGCGATATTGTTATTAAGTAAAAACTATATTTACTAATTATAAACGGAAAAGCTTACTACAATTCAGCCATTCCCACCATTTTAAAAGGAATTTTGAATTTGTTTTGTGCATATAAGCCTACCCATTTGTAAATATGGACGTGCATATGTAGCGGCTGGCAGAGGTGTTGTCACATAAAATAAAAATATAATGAAAATACAGGAAGATATTGACACCAAAAACTGAGTTACAACAAAGGCAGTGTTCTTAATAAAAAGGCCAAAGTTTTATTATTGGCAAATAACCAACAACTTAATTACAAATATGTACATTTGTTGATTTGTAAGAACTGAAAGTGAAAGGAGTACATATTTGTAATTAAATAGAAAAAAAGCATTGAACGTTGGAATAAAAAAAATACTTGAGGTCCGTTTTCTTTACGAAGACAGAGTTAAAAAAAATTAAAATCTAACAAACAAATCGGTTAAAATTTGCTTTCCTGTATTAAAAGCTGCAAAGTTAAATTAAAATCTCAGTTGTATTTATTTTCATAAATGATCTTGGAAAATTCTGAGGTAAAATTTAATAACGACCAACCAAACGTTTATATAAACAATTAAAAAAAAAAAAAGAAGCGGAGCGACTTGGCAGTAAAAGAAAGAAAAAAATAATAAACTGTAGGTTAAAACTGAATCATTTTTTATCAGTTAAAAGTTAATTCCAAGGATATTAAAAAATAAAAAAAATAATCTGCTTTAAAAAAATAATGCATTTTCAAAACTGCCTACTAGCACTAGCCTTGTTGTCTATTGACTCTAAACGGAAACTAAAAAACTCCCAATAATAAAGCGATGCATGATGGGAGAAAAAAATGTTATTATTCTCTGATATTTTTTTTTTAATCTTTAAAATTACATTATTTGTTTTAATTTTTACTTATTTTTTTTTTAAATAATAGATATTAGGATAACTATTGTGAAATAAAGTAAAATAAACATATATTTTACAATTAAAAAAAAAAATGTTTGATGTTTCGAAACGGTTTGGCGGTATTGACCAATCAGAATAGAAGTTGTTGTGAGAATTAGCCAATCAGAGACGGAGCGCTGTTATTCGAACGAACAAGCTTGTTTCCATAAATACCTTTTTGGCTTGGCTTGATTTTATGGTGGCTACTGATTTGGATGCTACTTCGATTTACCAAGGAAACCGTTGATTTTTTCTAGCTGTTTTTATATACAAATTGCAAGGGCGGACGACTATTATTAATCATGGCCACAACACGAACTAATTCGGTGAGTTAAATATTTAACCTTAAAAGAGTAATTGTGAATATTTATACTTACTCGTTGCTACTGTACTTACTGCTTGAATTAGTTGACTAGAGATTCTTTTTCTTTTTTTACTTTCATAAATGCCTTTCTTTTTTTCTTTACTTCTTTGCATAAATGCTTTATTTTGCTTCATATCAGAACAGTTTCTAAATATTTTGCACAAATTAAACCGGTTAAATTTACTTCCTTTACTGTCTACCATTGAACTATATTTTGAAGCCACGGCTTTCTGTCAATAAACGGTTTTAAAATTTATTTGTTAATACTCTTAATATTTATTAAATCCTTAAATTAGTAAGATCCTGTGTTGTTAACGGTGGTGTGTATCTTCTCAGACATCTGAAGAGGATGGTAGAAAAAAGATGTGAATGAAGTCAGCAATCCTTCTCATGCACATTTTATTAAAAACTACAGACAGGTGCTCTTATTTTATTTTTCTTTTGTACAATTTCTCATGCGATCTAATTTTTCGTTTCGGATGATAAATTATATAAAAACTATCCGAATTTATCCGAGCGCTTTCGGCTATACATTTAGCCATTTTCAAGGATTGTTTTAACTGTTAAAACTAGAAATAGTTTGTACGTTTTTAAAATGTTTTCATAAGTATTTTGCATCGAAAACATATTTCGACAAGTCTTCGATGTAATATCCCGAAATATTTTGCTCTTTTAAATTAAATTTATGAACAGTGGAGTTGTATTCTATTCATTCATCTTACCTGGGATGGTTAAATAAACTTAGACTCCTGACTTTTACTTTATTTTGATTGAAAAAAAATGACATGGAGTCATCATAAAGTCCACTAAAATTTGTCCATACTAATTTAAAATTTCCACTTTTCTCATCATAAATTCCAGTCTTTGTTTCCACTTTTTTTTTTTTCTCTTTAGAGTTTAAATCTTTACTTGTACGTATTTGTTCCTTCTATCAAGAATTCCTGTCTGTTCATGTACGAACAAGTTGCTTCTTACTCGATAATTGATCACATTGCTGAACGACACTTTATCTGTTCTATAACCTTGCATTGTTAGATTTAAAATAATTGTAGTTTTCTATTCTATTTATTTTAACTCTTAATCATAAATAATAATTTCCTATCAAGTTATTTAAAACAATTTTTCACTCTACAAGTCAAACGTGTAGCCTTTTAAGTTATTTTCTAAATATAATTAAAAATTTAGATTAAATTTATAAATGCTTTCTGACTTTCCAGCTCTTAAAAACTGCTTATTTACTTTAAGCCTCGATTACTTTCAGAGACTAGTGGAGAAAAAAAAAAATAATCAACCTAAGACCCTTAACCCGCCGCTTCTCTAGAACGTTCTTCGTTTATAGATCGACCCTCCTCGGCTACTTCTTAACTTGAAATTAATGTTTCTGTAATTAGTCGTACGTGTAGGTAGACAAATCCGTCTTCAGGTGTCTGATCTTCCACTTCTGAAAGTAGACCTTCACCTTTTCTGGCCTTTTTCTGATAGAACTAAAAGGCTGAGGAAATAAGGACTGAATTTGTTCAATAACAAGCCGGTCTGAAGATAAGTCCTACTTTTTTTTTTTTTTTTTTTTTTTTTTTTTTTTTTATTCCGCCACAAAACTTGGCTTTTTAGTATTTAATGTTTTTTTACTAGTCTATAAATTGGGCTATTTTATTTTTTCTCCCATGGCATACCAAAAATGTCTTCATTGCTTTTGCAGATGCGTCTGAGACCATTGAACCGAGAGAATCCTGTTGGCAAGATGAATGCTGACGCTACCCAAGTGACACGATCAGCTTTGCATGAAATTGGTAACAAAGTGTCAAATATTACTCTTGATGTTAAGAAAAAAGACGACTTAACACAGAAAGTGTCTGTTCGACAGAAAGCTATTGTGGCTGCTGCACAAAAAGCTGCCACAATTGTTAATCCTCTAGCCGACACGGTTGTAAAACAGGTAAGTATACCTATACTCTTTCAGTGTTTGTTTTTTTTTTTTTTTTTTTTTTTTTCCAAGCTTTGTCTTGGAACGAGATATTAACGATCCTTTCTGAGGATTATTTCTGAAAAAAGTGGCACAAGGCCTGAAGGAGGGGGGATGGGCTTCTGTCTTAACTCTAAGCTTAGCTAACCGAATCATACAAATAATATTCCTTGCACCAAAACATTCTTGCATAACTTTCTCACTACATCCACCATAATACCTCTGTGTCTTCATGAAAGTACTAACTAGTCCCCATACGTACAGCTTATCTGTGGGGGGGATAAAACAATTTTAAAACTACCCCCAATGAGTATTTACAATAAAACGTTTTACAAAAAACTAAACCAAATAATGTTAGTAATACCCCCCCCCCAATCACTAACTGGGACAGAAACATCAGTTAACTGGACAAAATCGGTGAGACTATAATAAAAACATTCATCCCAATCACTTGCGCAGACACTCGCACAACAAATACAAAAAATCACATGAAACGAAAGTCGCCCCACATCCACCAGGAAACTGACATTACTGTCCGCCTAATGAGGGATGGGAAATTAAAGAAAAAATAGGGACATAAATGGGGCCCAATGAGCATACATACCCTAGCTAAATTAATTGTAAAAGGAAGTTAGATTCAATAACTAAACCTAAGGCTACCCTAATTTCAGGATGGGTTGCTCATATTCAACCCGGGAAAAGCAATATCCTGATGCCTAACTGGTATCAAAGTGCCACTCCAGATCAGTCCTTTCACACGACACAAACGCAAGATTCAGCCACCTTTTGCCAAATTCTGATGAAGTGAGCTGCCACTTTTCCGTCCTGATCTTGTACAAGATCAGTTGGGAAGAAATGGACTTCTCGTCTCCATAGAATCCTTTCTGGCATGGTGTCCAAATCACTATTCTCATAACACCTAGCAAACATTACAACCCTTTGAGGGCTGCAAACCACTGCTATAACTGGTACTTATTAGGTACTACCAAAACTTGGGCACTTGAAATTAATTGTTTAAAACCCCTTTAACTCTGGCCATACTTAATCTCTGCAGTAGATATTTTTTATCCCAGGATTGAAAATATCTTATCTGGTGTTTGAACACTTGGGATTTGCCTGGATGAAGATGGAATGGTTAAAAATTTGAATTTTAAGATAACTGAAGAAAAAAAAACTAATTCACTAAGTTTAAAGTAACAAACTTTAAGATTATAAACTGAACTTAAAATCTCACTTTGACTTGAGGAAATCAAATTTTATTTCTTCAAAATACCAAGGAATCTGCAAAAAAAGTGAGGCTCTGAAGTTCTATGGAGTGAATTGAATTTAGTAATTTCTTCAAAATTATCTTTGCTATTTTCTAAGCTGGAGCACAGGTTTCTCTTAGTCTGGGTCCTGACTAGCTTAAGTGTGTACAGTCGATCTTTTTAAGATAGTTTAAAATTTTTGTAAAATATCTTTATTTGAAAGAATAGTTTGAAACCTAAAACTTATAATGGATTTTAATAGAAAAATGACTTTATTTTAAGACTTGAATTCTTTGACTCCTGTGCCAAATTAATAAGGGTCTGACCATCCCTGACTTTTTTCCCTCTTGCATTTGTGCTCTCAGAGCTTTGATACCTATTTTACATCTCTATGGCAAAGAGTTCCTGAGATATGGCTTTGGTCCTTGCCAAAAAGGTGAATTTTGATACAGTTTAAATATCAATATCTCAGTATTTTTCACCTACAAAGTTAGATTATATACCACCTTAAATTACTTGGATAGATCCAAGTTTTTTCTTTCTTTTTTTTTTTTTTTTTTTTTTTTTTTTTTTCTTGTTTGGGTCAAATAAGATTGACCATAATCTTTTGTTTGGGCTTTTAATTTCACAAATGTATCTTAATTTGATAACCAATTTGTTTTATGACAAGATATGTAAAATTTTGTGGTGGGCATTTGACTGTAGCCCGAGTTAAAAAGGTTTTACTGGGTTGGTCTGAATTCAAAATGGCAGATTAGTATTTGCAACTATATGCTAACATTTTCATATTTCCCAGTATGGGCAAGTTGTATATCTTTAGAAAGCTCTTTGAATTCTGGTTAATATTCACATAACTATGATCATAAAATCAACAGAATTTATGCTTAAATGTTTACCAATTAAGTGGAAAATCAACATTTATTTTTGGCTTTGTTTTTATTATAAAACACACTTTTTTTATATTAATGAAATATCTTAAATGTCATGAAATAATGTTATAACCTAAAATATGCAGCAAATGTTAATGGCTGACATTTTTGCTGACATGGTACACAGCATGCACAAAACCAACCAAAAAAGCCCCAGACAAACTATACAGAAACTACTGTGCTATAGACAATAAGGTAGGAATATTTTCTTAGTCTATAAATTGTCTTTTTGAAAGATTGTAACTTTGGCTAGTCTTGACCTCTTCAGATATAGATTTGAGAAAAGGTTTGGATGCAGATATAAAAGCTTGTTCCAATATTGTTACAAATGTTACTGTTAAACTTTAGTCTGGTAGTATAGCTTGAAATGAGCAGACTTTTGGGCTCTTAAGTAGGAACTTGTGTATCTTAGACATCATACCTGTTACTTTTTGATTTTTCAAAACTAATGTTTGTAACTATGCTTATTTCTTAAGAATTAATTCTATTGGCTTATATTCCTGTTTACTTTGTAACTTCAAGAACTTAATGCTTTTCTGTAATCCTTGATGTTTATCTCTTTATGGGCCTAATCTGTGTTCTTCCAGAGTTAAATTGTCTGAAATCTGAACTGAAATTAAGTTTGATATCACTGAACTAAAATGCTATTTCTAAAGTTATTAATTAAAATTTTTTTTTACCAAATTTTAAAATGAACTGAAATATTTTCTTTTGACTCTGATAAATTGAATGACTAGACTCTAATTCTAGCATATATTTAAATAGTTTACATTTTGCATATTTGCTATTAAAATACTGGAGATTTTGTCTTGGTTGAGAAAGATTATACTGGTAATATCCTATCCTATCCTTTTCTTTATAGGAAAATATATCAAAAGCTGTTAAGAATGTGGAGAAATCTACAAAAGTGGTCCACAGTCCAATGGAAGTGTGTGAAGTGCAAAATGAACCTTGTGTACCTTGTATTAATATGGCCAATGTATTTGATATTGATGCTGATGATGAAGACAACCCCCAGCTGGTCTCTGAATATGTTAATGACATCTATGCTTACCTGAGAGAACTTGAGGTGAGATTAAGATTGTTTACACAAACATTGTGGCAATTAGAACCAATTTTTCCTAAAGAAATTGGTATACACTAAAATTGTGCATCTTGTATGTGACATCTTTTAACATGTCAAGATGTTTGATTAATGTTAACTTTGGAACTTCAACTTTTGAAATGTTGGCTGTTAACACGTTTGGTGTACTTCCTTGACCCTGAACATAACTTTAATCATTATATTGATTCTTGCATTCTATTTCTTGCTGTCCTGTTAGTCCATGCTTTAAGTTTTTTTTTTCTCATTCTGCAAAACTTATTTTATGCTCCAGTTTGAAATGTTTAGTTAATGTAATTCTGAATGTCTCCATTCTGCAAGAACATATTTCAATAATATATTAATTGATAATATTAAGTGTATGCAGTTATATTATTTAAATCTGGATATGATTTTTTCCTTCATAACTTTGGACAGTCATTGTTTTAGATGCCTTCCAAGCAAACTATATAGAACCATTTATTTAAATTTGACTAAAATAAATGAAGTCATTGGAATTTTCTTATGCTGAGCAATTAACTGCTACTGCTCTCTTCATGAGATTGCCGTTGAAGTTAGATGCCTTCTCACTAAAATATTGTGCTGGTATTTTAACACTGCTTTTTATTCCTGTGAAACTTTGGTTATTTACTTTCTACAAATAAAAATGCTGGCAGATTTCTATGCATTGTCTTTGCAACACCCTGGAAATTAATGCTTTCTTATACGCCAGATCCAGAAAGGTTAGAGCTGCTTCTATTGGCATAGAAGCCCACATCTATTATGTACTCTTCAGCGGGTGGGTCCAGTTGTATAACTGGAGAACAGATTACTTGAACATGGTGAACTTTGCCAAAGGGAATGTGCCCTTGTGACTGAAGGATTTGCTTGTGGGTATACATATGCATAATACAGAAATGAAAGTCTGTACTCTTGACATAAGCAAGTGAAATCTGCAATTTTAAAAGCAAATAATGGCCAGAAAGAAGCTACCGATGGAAATCTCCCACAACCTTCATGTTCAGAATATAACTCTCATAAAATATCATGTACCACCCAATCCCTATAAATGTCAAGCTTGATGATCTTACCTTAACATACATTGGTAAGTTGTTATACATGATCTAGACTGGCCAGCCACCTGAAAATCCATAATCGGCAAACCTAGGAGGCATAAACTCCTAAGATTAATGGCCTACACTTGCCATTTGTACAATATTACAAATTTCTTACCAGCTTAGTCATTGTCATGACTTGATGTATGTCACTGGTCATATTCATTTACTGAATTAACTGCCATTGTTCACTTATATGGCTGAGTGGTTAGTATTTGCTTGTGTTTGGTAGATAATTAGATCATTTCAAGGCTCTTAAGGAGAGGTACTATGATACCTTGGCAATGATTAGAAAACTTGGTAAAGCAGATTTTTAGTGATAAAACACACAACTATCACAACTTGTTTAATGCTCTCTGTACAAGAGATGGTGACATGTTCCTTTACATGTGGAGCCATGTCCCTTGTATCAAATTTTAAATCCTGATTTTAAAACTAAAAATGAAACTAAAAACTTATCTACTGTTCAAAATAGAATAAGAATTTTTAAAGATAAAATTACATGGGAACTTTAAATGTGAGCTATATTAGTGCTTGTGGAGTGATGCAAATTTTTCTGTATTGAATCAACAAATTGACACAAGTATTTTCTAACTAACTGGTTAGAAGGTAAGTTCAATTTATAAAACTGCTAACCACTTTCTTCCCAGGCAAGTATTGTCATGGATTTCTTTCTGCATGCATTCACTAATGAATGCAGTCTGAACCAGGTATAATAAAGTATGAATAATTGACAATTTCAGTGATATGTAGCTGATCATTGATCTGTTAATAGATCAAACAAATATCAAGCCCCCCCCCCCATTGTATGTGAGGTCAAAATTGCTGACATGTTTCTGTATAATTGTTTTCATGTAGATTTTGAACTTTAATTTTCTTTGAGTATCCTCACTTGCATATCATTCTGCACTTTAAATTTTTTCCTGGTGTGCATTTGGAATTTATACTGTTTTGAGTTTACATTGTCATAATTTTCTACTTTTTTTTTTTTTTTTTTTTTTTTTTTTTCAGAAAAGCTATAATGTAAAACACAATTATTTGCATGGCCAGGAGATTACTGGAAAGATGAGAGCCATCCTTATTGACTGGCTATGCCAAGTGCATCACAGATTCCGTCTCCTTCAAGAGACTCTATATATGACAGTTTCTATTATAGACCGCTTTTTACAGGTTTGTAATTTCCTTCACTTCTGCCTCATAACACTTGTAATTTGTGCTTGTTGGCCTCTTCATAAAACCTTTCCCTTGTTAAAACCAAATGAAGTTGGCTTTCTTGCCTTGATTTTTGTAACAATTGAGAAAGGATATTAAAGTCAATTTTGCTGAAGTTTATTGGCAAATTTCTTGCTTTGGCTTGTAAATCATACAATATTAACCTTTGCAACTCTGCACTAACTTTGGAGTTGTAAAGGACCCACACTAATGTTGGGTGTGGCAAGTTTTTGAATGGTGGGTACATTACTAGCATTTTCTTAGTTTTAGATATAGTTATAGAATTTTGGGTATTTGTATGAAAGGATGTATAAAATGTAAACTTTCATCACAGATAAATTTTTGAGGGGGAGAAATATACAAACTTCTTAGTTTGTATTTTAAGCATACTTAATTGTATAATCCAGGTCTGCTAGCCACCTTGTGGTTGACCAAAGTATGATAGTGTTCAAAAGCAGGTGTAAGAACACATGGAAACCTGACAGTTCTGGCACATATAGGTAGTTTTGGTGCCTCTTTTTGTTCCTGAACACTTCATTCGGGTGCAGAGGGCTTTCCAGTGCTGACATACTTGGTATTTGTGTAGTGTATGCCTATGACCAGTCAGTCTGGAGTGTCACTGGGGTTGCCTCCTTGGCAAGATCTTACAACAGGCTGACACCCTAAGTTTGAACTCTCTTCAGGCTGCTGTTGAATTATCAACAAGATGAAAATGACAATTGATAAACGATTCCTACTCATCACATTGTAAAACCTTGCATAGATAAAAAGGGGTCTGTTGTCCAGTAAGATGGAAAGTTTTGTCAAACCTATCAACAAAAGCAAGGCCAAAATGCTTTCATTTCTCCAAACGTTTTTCTAAGCTCTGATTTGCAAGTTGAAATTTGCTGTGTCAATTTTTTAACATCGTTTGCATACTGGTTAATTTCCACTAACTGAATGATATTGTCAGATAATACAAAAAAATGTCTACCTCACTAGGTTCTTGATAAACATTTGTAGGTTTTGGAGTATTAGAAATCTCTGGCCAACCATGGGTAATTGTATGCTTGTGATGGTTTGAAAATTCCTTTCTTGGTTGGGATCAATGTCTTGCACATCACCAATATATGTTGGTAAGTTAGAGAATCTTCACTGCTCTCAATGTCCATGAAAAGTTCCTCTATTGGCATAAGACCCATGCCTTGCCCTTGGGGTTGACATTGTGATCTAAAAACCTCAGCTGCTTTATTAAAATTTGCTAATAAAGCAATTTCAGTTAGGACAAAATGGCTGACTTTTAGAAACCTGTCAGGGTTGCCTGGAAAATATTAAGTCTTGCTAATGGACAGGTATGCTTGCAGAGTTGTAAAGGTAGTTTTTTTTTTTTTTTTTTTTTATATATACATATGCTGAAATTTTGAACTAAGCAAAATGTTTATGAAAGATTCTTTCTCTTTAGATTCGTCCTGTTAGCCGAAGCAAACTACAGCTAGTTGGTGTAACATCCATGTTGATAGCCTCAAAATATGAAGAAATGTATGCACCAGAAGTTTCTGACTTTGTGTACATTACAGACAATGCATACACTCGGACAGACATTAGACAAATGGAAACTCTGATCCTGAAGACTTTGGATTTCAGGCTTGGGAAACCATTGTGTTTGCATTTTTTGCGAAGGAATTCAAAAGCGGGACAGGTAATGAACAATCTTTAAAATCTTGAAACTATGGGTGGGGGGGAGTAGCATCTATATTTATGTGCTTCCCCCCCCCCCCCGTACCTAGACTTGATTAATATTGTCACTTCTGTCATGCTCATGAGTTTCCTACTTTATTACAAGAACTAGTGGACCATTTTCACACTAAATGGTATGAGGTTATGCAAAAAAAATAAGGCTATCTTGCAAGGTTTAAAAGATAGAAACTTTCAGTGAATTCTCTGAACAATTATTTACTTTTTAACTCTTAACATTAACCCCTGCATCACTTATAAATATTACTTCCTATTTTACTGCATATGGAATTCCCTCAATATAGTTTTGTATATTAACTTTACAGGTGCCTCCACTTTTTTGCATAACCTTTTCAATATCTAAAGTTTTTAAAGTAAATTTTAAATATGAAAACTCCTTGAAACTTTTCCTTTTTAGCTTTAATTGAAAGCTAAATGATTACATTTACTATTTCCAGTAAGCAAAATACTCTGGTATATTTCAAAAATTGGATTGATTGAAATCTTTTTGCTCACTTTTAGAAATTCAGCCATTTTTAACATTTGTAAAGATGTAGTTTTAATTCTTTAAAAAATAAATCTTCCAAAAATAAAATACTTTAAAAAAAGAAAAAAAAAAAAAGTGCAATTAAGTGCTTGTCAGCACCTCGTAAGTCACTTAACGAGATGCTGGCACTTTTATTGAGGTGACCTTATCTGTTAAAACATCATTTAAGAAAAATGACCAGTGAACACTTTCTATATAATTTTAAGTATTCAGTAATCTTAAATGTTGGAAAATGTTCTCTAATCTTAGGAATGTTGAATTTAAATTTACTATAGTTGTTGCTCTTGTTTTATGTAGTGTGGTTGACCATATTTTCAACTAGGCAAATTATGTATACATAAATCCTTTCCATTTTTAAATGTAGTTTTCACTTAATAGCAATATCACCTTGAAGTAATGCAGTACTTAAGCTACTTAAATTATTTAATTAAAATTTTAATTCCTTAGTTATTTATAGAAAACTTTAAGACAAGTCTCCTTAAATTTTATTTAGAAAAGTAATTAGATTTTTCTAATGTCAGTTTTATTGCATTTTACAATTCTGAGTGGATTTTCAAAGAATGGGTTAACTGGTTACAAAAGTTTACATTCTCAAAGTAGTTGTGCTTCTAACTATTAAAAAAAAAAATGCTCTAAATTTTTTCTTTTTTAGCAGGTGGTAAAAAGGTAATTTCACATTTCACTTCTGAAAATTTCATTAATTTTTTTCTTTTTCCTTCCCAAATTATATCTTCTGACCACAAATGAATAAGCAATATTTGGCTGCCTGTTAATTGGCTTAATCAGTTAATTTATTTTAACTGACATTACTTAATTTAACTTATTTTTTTTCTTTTTTCCTCAGGTTGATGGCAACACACATACTCTTGCTAAGTATCTTATGGAATTGACTGTAATTGAATATGACATGGTTCATTATAATCCCTCACTGATTGCTGCAGCAGCTTTATGCCTTTCTATTAAGCTTCTCTCTAATGGTGATTGGGTGAGTTTCTCTTTTCATGGAAAAATCTTAATTTAAAAATTCTAAATGTTATCCACTAGTCTGTCTGGCCTAGGTTGGATATTTCAGTGAATTGGTAATTTTGGCTAACATAAATACTTGACAGTTTAAAAAAAAAAAAAAAAAAAAAAATCTGTTCTAAATTAAATTGTATAACTTCCTACTTGTCAATTTACCAATTGTCATTAAAAGCTTGAAACTCTGTTAAGCTTGTTCTCTTCTCCCCCCCCCCCCGGTTAAAATAAAAATAATAAATTCTTAGATTTTGAAGTTTTTACTTACTGTGACAAATTGGTATGGCTTTTTCCACCCTCAGACTGACACCCTATCATACTACAGCACATACACTCTGGAAGATCTCTCAGACACAATGAAAAAGATTGCCAAACTTGTTATTAAAGCTGAAACAAGTAAACTCACTGTAAGTATTGCTTTTTTTTTTTTTTTTTTTTTTTTTTTTTTTGTGCATGCTAAATTTATAATGGAGAAACTGAAGTATGTCATTTCTTCAAACTCTTAAGTATTGATACTCTATCAAATTGTATAATTTGTCTTGCAGGCTGTTCGTACAAAATACCAAAGTTCTAAATTCTACAAGATAAGCAGCATACCTGACCTCAAAGGCGAACAAATCAGAAGATTTGCTGAATGCTAACGTAGCTTTTACTTTCTTTTTAAACTTGACTTTTGTCTGTGATTGTTGCAATGTGGGCTGTCATGACTTGATATATCAACATTTTTTTTCTTTCTTAATCTAAAGAACAATCTTAGCCATATTCTTACACCTAACCCCACAAATGAATCCTCGACATTTTTTAACTGCTAGATTTTTTAATCTTGTATATTTCTAAGTCTTGTAAATATTGAATTTTCATAAATGGAAAAGATCAACTTAGGTTTTATTTATGCTGAGTTTTTTTTTTTTTTTTTTTTTTTTTTTTTTCTCTCTCCCATGTCACTGGTACTTCTTACTGCAAGTCATTCCTCAGACTTAATTTCTTAAGCATTAACTAAATAAGATTTGGATATGTGCACAAGGTGAATGCATTAGTTCAATATTTTTCCAAATTGTAATCTTCTTGAATCAATTACTCAATGTAGTTTAAGTTTTAGTTTTCTTACTTTCGTAGTTTTTATTTTCGAATTTGTAATATAACAAAAGTGAAAAACGCTTGTACAGGAAATCTTGATTCCAATGAGGCATGTTTACCTAGAAACACTTAAATTAATACCATTTCCTAAGTTTCAGAAAATGTTGATGTTGCATGATCATACATGGAAATTTTATAATATTTTATTTGTATATAATAAAGATTTTTACTCTGTATGTTATGTATTATTTCTCTTTTTTTTTTTTTTTTTTTTTTTTTTTTTTTTTTTTTTTTCATGCTCACTTTGCTTTATTCCTAGTAATAAAGATGGGGGTCCCCCATATCCCCCTCCAACTTAAATTGGCAGGAGAGGTAAGACTTTGCAATTGCTACCCACTAATAAAAAATGTATACCTGCCTGTCTCCTAACACCCAGTCTACTGGATGAAAACACATCTTCAGTGAGGAATTAGCACTCTTACAAATAGGAACAACTCAAATCGATTACCAAAACTTTTTATTTAGTCACTTGTCATTCCTTTTACAAAATCCTTGTCACAAATGGTCAGACCACCACAAATTAGCATAGCCTCTCATGCTGTAATGGTAGGCTGACTTAAACATGTAAGGAGTCTTGTCAAAAGTATGCATGCAGATATATAACTTTAATACTATCATGTGAATAGGTCTCTGATTACTCGGGAAGAATTAGGATTCCATTTTCTCACTTTGTATGTGAACCTCCAATCACCTGAATAACAGATTTGCTTTGGTAATGTCTTTTACAGAGATAAAAGGTGTGGTAACTTGTATTTAGTATAATTGGTACAGTTTTTCCTTGCTACATACTTGCTAAATTTCCCCCACAAGCACCAGTCTGTTCATATATCAATTTTGCAGAAACTAGTGTGATTATATTTAGTAATATAGCCTGTTTTATCTTTATTTTAAATGCTTTGAGAGACTCTGTTACAGCACAAACTACTATAATAGGCATTTTCTGGTGAACATGCATGGTTATGGTCTTTGTAATTCTATGGTTTCATTTTTCTATGATTAGGTTTATCTCTGGCTGAAATAACTTCCTTTTCAGTAGTTGAATTAAATCCTCTTCTTGCAGTCTTTCATTGGTTTCACTCGTCCAACAGTTCCTGCACCCATGACACCAGTGCCTGCAAAAAAAAAAAAAATTATAGTAAAGCACTTACTTACACACACTGCTCAGCACTCATGACCAGTATGCACTTAATGCTTAAATACAAGGTATAACTAGTCTGTAGAAACTAGTATTCTTACTGACACTGTGTATTCTAATAGCTTCTTGTTTGGGTTTTTTCTCTCTTCCTCCTTAGATGTTAATGTGCCCTAATTGAAATTTGAATTATTGGAAGATGCCAAATTATCAGCAGTACATGTGGCGGGAATATACAAATGATCAAACAAGATACCAGTAGTCAATTGTAAATAGATTTTAATTAAACTTGGTGCTTCAGTTACACAAGTAAACTGAAGATAGCATGTTTTTATTTTAAACAAATGTAAGACTTTAGTTTTCCTCAAATAACCTTTGAATAATATTTACATTTACAAGAACATCTTACCAATTTAACTTGTTTCCATTAAATTGTATAAATATTTGTAAAGTACTCAAATGTCATTTATTTTCATTTTTGAATGAAAGCTAAAGAAGCTTCAAGAATGACTTTAAAATTAAGATTCAATTAGATACCAACAAACGGGAAATCTAATTTTCATATGCAATTTTTTATGTTGTCAGTTTACATTAAGATGTTTCGTGAACAAAAATGATCACTAGAGAATTGACAAAGATTTTTTTATAAACAGTAATCTGCATTTTTGTTAACCAGACACTTCCCTGTAGCTAAATGGCATAGCATACCAGATCCTATGATAGTTTCTGCATAGAAATACAGGTCAGATTCCTGTCAGAATGCATATTTTTCTATCAAATTTCTTGCATTCATGCTGGCAAATTTTAATACCGTTCAATTAAAAACTTGGCATTTACTTTTTCTTCTAGCTATAATTAAAAAAAAAAAAAAAAAAAAAATGTATAAGCAGTATACATAAGCTTATTTCCTGTCACACTCTTCACACTTATGTAATGAATAATGTATGTTCTTTGAGTTTGGAATGTTCTTACTACTATTCAGTTTGCTCTAGTCTCCAACTTTGAATTTCAAAGAGGGGAGAGGAACTAATGAATCTGGAAGTACTAATTGGCAAACTCTGGAGAAGTGCTACAAAAAAAAAAACAGCCACTGAAATAAATATTTGGAGTTTATGCATTAAATAAATTTTTCTAGTAAATTTACTAGTTAGTGTTTTAAAGGGAGAAACAGTAATTTCAGAAGCATGGGAAGTAATTGGGATATTTACCTTAACCAAGGGCATTGAAATACTAGACTAAGACTGGCACTAGGCAAGATGGGATTATAATAGATGCTAACTGCCTCACTCTTTTTTGCATGGGGCAAGACTAGAAATAATGAAATAGTCGGTGAATGCTGTACAATCACCTAAGATGTTCAAGAGACTTGGCAGCAGAAATGTGATTCTACAGAAGGATACTGAGGATATGTTAGAACACCTCTGCAAGGTTTTAGAGGATATGGAAACTCATAGTATCAGGAAGAGACAGTTAAAATTTATGGGGCACATACCAAGGAAGGGGGGGGCTTAGAAAATCTGATACTCACAACCTACTTGAGCTTAATATGGCTCCCATCTGACCTAGTACCAGTATGTCTGTACAGCTTGTATCACCCTCTGGTAGGTTGTTTTCCAATTTCTTTTCTATGAGGATTATTGGGAATGGGACACTGATTGCTTAGGTGATCATGGCACATGACCCCCCAAAAAAAACCCAAATCTGACACTCGCTCTCTATATTCAATGTAATATTTGTATATTGGTGATTTTCTAATGACATGGGTAGGTCATGTGGGTCTCTGTAAAATGAACTTTGATACTGAATGTGGGTAATAAATATAAATGATATCCTTGCCTCATATATGAAACAATGTTAAAACAGTCTCTTGTATCAAATTTAAGATAGTGTTGGGACAAGGGAAATGAAGCTTGGGAGCCAATGTTCACTAAATGGATGGTGGAAAATGGCTTAGAAAAAAAAGTAGCCAAAAGACAATTAACAGCAAATTGTGAAGAGCCATGATCACTTATGTCTTGAGAGGATATGGCACAAAGGATAATAGCAGTGGCAGACTTTAGATTTCATAGTGCTAAGTAACAAAAATCACTGATCTTATTCTAAGACACTGGAGAGGGGGGTGGGGAAACAGCTATGTTTATGATCATATTTCCAGAAAGATTTTTTATTTTTATTTTATTTTATTTTTTTTTTTTTTTTTTTTTCTCCCTTACCTAATCAAGGCAGTACAGCCACCAAAATACAAGGGCGTACAGGGTATGGAGGAATTAGAAACATTAGTAATGAGTGGAAAAAGAAGAGTAATCAGGACAGTAGATAGATTGACATTGCCTTTAAATTTTTGCAAATTAAAATTGTCTGGAAAGGAGATTCACAAGAACTGTTAGCATAGAACTAACAGCTACATAAAGCCAACTCAACTGTAAATTGATGGGATCTTGCCATCAGTTGTACACTGTTGTATACTTATATTTCACCGGTGATGCATTTGATTATGGTATGTCACAAGGATCTGTTTGCACTGCAAAGAAAACTTATTTGGGAAGGATGTTAAAATAATCCACAACTTATACTTAGGTCAAACTGCCTGCATATGGATAGAAAATAAAGTACATAAAAAAATAGCAATGGGGTGGGTGAGGCAAAGATGTGTCTACTTACTGTGTTTATTCTACTTTTACGGTCCAGTTCTAAAGGAGCTGGAGACCTTACCAAGATTCTTGGTGGATGTAATCTTAACAATATAAGATATGCCGATGACATTGTGTTGATGGCAGGCACAAAGAAAACCGTGACTCCATGAAAAGGTAGTAAAGGAAAGCAGGAAGAAAGGATTAATCATCAATTGTAAGAAGACAAAAAACTTGAGGTAAGAGATGTGGTTCCACAGACAGATGCTCAGAATAAGATGGACAGAGCATGTAAACAACAAGGAAGTTTTAAGGAAAACTGAGACAAAAACAAATTGCACGTCAGAAAAAGACTTAAAATTTCTGGGATGCCATGAGAAAAGATCTGGAAAATTTGACACTCACAGGGCATACAGGTCTGAGTTACAGGAAAGCAGTGAGCAACCTACCTAACAAGCTCACGGATGGTAGAACAGGGATAGTTAAAAAAAAAAAATAAACATTGCTATGATCTACAAAGGATAGGAAGTTGTGGAGAGCCCCGATCACCCACAGCCTGAAGGAACACAGTACACAGAAATCTGTATGATTGAAATTCTCCACACAGCCACTGAACCCATTGGTTGCATAAGATTCCTAAATGTACCCTGACAATGACCTATGAGATTGTCTTTCTACCAGTGCCATGTAACAAATATATTCCAACCTACCTTTATGGCCTCATACAGTGATGTGCATTGCTCTTCAACAAAATCTTCAGGCAATGGCGTATCAAGGCCCAATTCACGACTAAATTCTAAGGCTTTTTTACCGTCAAAGTTAACAAAACACATTCTTGTTGTTAGTTCAGTCTCTGGCCGGAGAAAGTCAGGTCCAGCTGCCATCATCTGTAAAGAAACATGTATTTCTCTTTATAAGTGTGTTGGGAGCTTGTATTTCAAAGAATAACATTTGAAGCAATAGAAATGTGAGATTAAAGTTAAATCCATTTAATTCTTTAAAAATTGCTTTGTTTATACTTGAGATACAAAGCAGCAGATATGAGCTTTTTTAGAAAAATCCTAACAAGTGTGCTTTCCCTAAAAAGGGAAAAAATAGAGCCTTGATGAATTGTGACTCTCTACTCAAGCAGTCTAAGGTACACCAGATGAAACAGTGGTTTGAGTGCACATAATGTCTGGATGATGAATATACACTATCTACTAAAAATAATATTTCAAGTAATATGTGTAAGCAAATGTGTGTGTGTGTAATAAATATATATATCTCATAGAAAACTGAACTTTGTATCTTGTGTTTGCCAGAAGTCATATATAGAGAGTGGGGGAAAGAAAGATGTAAATTTATTATCATGTAGGAAGTGGGGATGGAGCTGATTTTCTTATGAAATCCAGCCTCAAACAGGATATACACAGCTGTCATCAAGGTCTATGCCACTCTTGCTTCACAACCTCATGCTAAAAGTGACTGCTGACAAACTTCGGAGACCACTTCAGACTACGGCAACATTGTCCACAGCAAGAAACAAATTCTATCTCGTCTCCTCTTTACTATGAACCATGCACACGCATATTGACTTCTTCACACAAACACACATATAACAAAATTTCATTGTTTCTCATGTACAGAAAGAAATTATATTTCAGAATTTTAACCCAAACGAAAAGACATTACTTTCCAATCTATGACCAATTGCTTGGATTCTTGTCAGTATATTAAATTAATGTTCATTTGTTGAAATTATGTTGTCTTTTCTACCAACTTTTATTCTTTCAATGAAAATCATTTGATTATTCTAAATGGCCGAATTACGTGCAGCCCCGCAATGATATTTTATGTTATTGCATCGAATCCCAACACACCAATTAATTGCCATGAAAAAGTCCACTCTAAAAAGTCTAATAATAGTTTTCCTATTGTCTTTTACCTTTTATAAGTATTGTCTTTTCTACAGGTTAACTCTGAGAAATATATATATATTATTTTTATACCTGGAGTTATATTTTCCGATTTCTTTTTGAATTTGTAGGTCTGATGAATTGGATCATGATTACAATTACAATGTAATAAATTATAACAATGGAATATTAGTGTTTGAGCCTTTTTTATTATATATAATGAAATATAATTTTATGGTATTTATGGGTTAAAGTAGTCACTATCAGGGATAGAGTGTATATAAATATAAAAGTGCAATTGTCAGACCATGATGATTGTGTATACGCACGAAACAGACTGTCACTACTGGGTGTTGACCTCAATGTCCATTTATTGTGATCAACACCAAATGGTAGCCGTCTGTTTAGTTCAGGAAGATTGCATGAAGCAGACTGTTACCACTTGGTGTCCACTTTTGCATTTCATCTGCTTTATCTCTGATATTAAGCACTTTTACCCATAAATATAACATACCTTAAAAGTACATTTTTATATATATACTAGCAGTAGAGCCCGGGGATATAACAGTAAGAGATAGATCAAGTATCCACCATCATAAAGACTGAAAAATAAAATTGACAAAGATTATTGTTTAAGGTTGACGGACACGCATGTCTTAATTAGTTTTTTTTTTTTTTTTTTTTTTATGAATTGGTCAAACCCAAACTCAAACAAAAACATTGTTTTCAATCGTTATGAGTCTACTGATTGAATCAAATTTTTTTTATAAACAATTGTCTTGTAAATGGAAGTTTTAAAGCATTCTGAATGTAAAAATAAAGCAAAAAGTGTGCAAGACAATAAGAAACACTACATGCCAAAAAAAAAGTGAAGTTTTGTTGAAATTGGTTGATAAATGTAGGTAGCCTTTCTGTAATCTTTTACTTTTAAAATTTATGATTTTTACTTATTGAATACAGTAAAAAAAATTGCATATTTTGCTTGTGGTGATTCATAATTAGAATTCTGATTTGAATATATTTTTCACTCATTGTTTCTAATACAAAAAATATTAACTTTATTTGGGTTTATTAATTATGATCTAACAAATCTTATTCATTTAGTAGCCTTCTCTGTAATATATAATAATCTTTTACAATTTATGATTTTTACTTATTGAATACAGTAAAAAAATTGGACACCATGTGTATTTAAAGTAGTTTCCTGTTCTGGTTATTATTTTTAGTTAGGACTTGTGTATGTTTAGATTTCATTATCTTTCCCTAAAGATAAAGAATTTATGTTTGTATTCGTACAATCAGTAGAGATCGTTAAATTATTGCTTAAGGTTGACGGACACGCATGTCTTAATTATTTTTATTTTTTACGAATTGGTCAAACTCAAACAAAAACATAGTTTTCAATCGTTATGAGTCTACTGAAAGAATAGAATTTTATTATAAACAATTGTCTTGTAAATGGAATTTTTAAAGCATTCTGAATGTTAAAAATAAAGAAAAAAGTGTGCAAGAGAATAAGAAACACTACCTGCCAAAAAAAAAAAAAAAAAAAAAAAGTTTTGTTTTAGCGGCTGAAAAATATAGGAAATCCGCTCCCATATTTAAAGTAACCTACACACAAACAAACCAATGTGAGTTGTCCCCCTTCCATTTTCACGATGTTTCTTAATCGTGTTTTCAAATTGATTTTGTGCAAAAACAATTATATTTTTTCCCATTTTTGGCACTGTTAGAACTACCACAAGGTAATTTTATGTAGTCTTGTGAAGTTTTGTTGAAATCGGTTGAAAAATGTAGGAAATCCGATCCAATATATAAACGTCACACACACACACACACACACACACACACACACACAGCGTTTTATAATAAGTAAGATATATATATATATATATATATATAGTTTCCATTAGGGTCAGATAAACAGATTTATTAGACTCTAACAAGTGGCATATCTGCAAAACTTGAAGTCAGAAAGATAAGTCTTAAAATTTTCTTTATCTAATAACAGTCGTTGCTGTTAATTTTTTTTTCTTTCAAATAATGAACACTGTTTACAAAAATACATATACTAGGTATCCCAGCACTCAGCTTACAGCCGATGAAATTCTTAACTAAACACTAAAAAAAAGGCATATATATTCAACTCACCATGTTATTTCATTCAACATCTCCATAAAAACATAATGCATACCAAATAAAAGCTTATTTCATGAACTTTGTTTCTTATCTTGTGCGAGGAACATTACAGTTTGAAAATAGACATTTTGGTGATTTCGCAAAATTTTGACCATTTTTTTCACTGATGGCAATTTGGAGTTCCTTAAATTTTTTAACATGTGCACTCTGCAGTGTTTATTACAATTTTGGTAACACATTAGTTTGAAAGTTAACATTCTAAGATTCATTTTCATATATTTTATATTTTTTAATTTTAACAAGTTTGTAAACAATTCAAATGAAAAGTTTGATCGTAAAATTCAAATGCTTGTAAAAATAAAAACAAAATATATCATTAAAACGCTCATTTAATAATCTATGAAACTAAATCAAAATCAGATATGAAGCAATAGCTCCATTTTGCGCGTGTGCGATTATGTGTAACCATGTGTGACTCGCTCAGCCATCATTTCAACTTCTTGCACACAGCGACAACACGGACCCCCAAGAATCGAACAGCATGTTTTCTATGGATAAAATTTTCAAGGAAACCGGTAAGAATTTGTTTTAAATATTAATTTTCTATGATATGTAAAATGTAAATGGGATTTAAAAACCGTTTTTCTCTAAAAACATGGAACAAAAATCGATTTGTTTACTTTATGCTCAGATTCAAATCACAAAAAAAAATACGTAGGACTTACTGATCGAAAAATGTTTATATTTGATGAATGAGATAAAAAAACATTCTTCAAAAAAAATTCTGGAATGTCTTTTATGATTTTGCAGTATTCTCGCAATAATTATCAGCATTTTAGTTACCAAGTAACATCTTGTTTAAAGTTATCCCTTCAAACAATTTTCTTACTTTTTAAATTATCTAATGAATTGATTTTAGTTACGATTTATTGCTATCTAGATACAAATTTATGATTTAATATTCATTTTCCTAATTTATTATTATTTCTTAGTAATATTCATTTCATACAGATTATGATTGTTTATTTTATTCTAAAATATTTTAATGTGTCAGTTTTAAGGACCAGTGTGAAAATAGGTTTGTTGAGAAAATATTTTAGTGCTTCTGCATTTGTTACTCAGGTGTATGGATGACTCTAAATTTATATTTATCCCTGATTGTATTTAGTGTAAATTTTTTATGAACTGCAAATAAACTCAAATTCAGTAAGAAAACGTAGATAATAATTTGTAGATGACTACTAAGTAGTACTTTGACTATGGGATAGGATTATAAATTCATTTTTTTTTCTTTTTGAAGATGACGATGTAGAAAATCTTTTACAATGTTGTTTTATGACAAAAGGCTGTGGAAGGAAGATGTCTTTGCCTGAAGTGGAATGTTCCAAGAAGGTGCCGCTTCAAATATATTCATTGAAAGAGAAGTATCAGGAAACATGCGATTCTGCTATTACTTGGCTACATAAATTGTTCCCAATCTTTACTAAGAACAGATAGGTACACCTTATTGAGAAAGTTGTAGCAGAAGTTCAGAGTTGTCCAAAAGCAGATCGTCCTGCATTGTACCATGAGGTAACAAATTTAGGATTCATAGGTGAAAGATGTGAGTGTTGGATTGACTCTGTGTTTTGTTGGATCCAATGCTGGGTTGTAAGCTTTTGTGTGTGGAAGTAACAAATAGGTGCATACTTGAACTATATAAACTGGATACACCAACAAAGATATACTAGTCAGACTAGAAGAACTTGGTTAGTGCCTGAATTAGATTATTTGGAGGGATTGTATGAAGAGTATGCCAAGACTTACTTTTGACTACTCGGTGAAGAGGTATCCCAACACCCAGCCCACCATTACTGAAAATTTCCAAATAAATTTTATTTGATTAATTTTATGTATGTGTTTATTTTTATGTGCATAATGTGAAAGGATTATTACAGTTTAAAAATTGAGACAATTTGGTGATTTCATACCACTTATGTAGTGATTGGAACTGACATGTGTCAGAACTTCAACCTTTTGGTCAAATTGTGACATAAAATATTTTTATTTTAATGATTTCAGTTACAGATTTAGTGGTTGAATACCACTTCATGATATGGTGAGTTTTCTGTTGTTTTCTTATGTTCATTAGTGGGTATTGCTTGGTGTGTGTTAAGCTTCTCTCTCTCTACAGTCCAGAAATTGTACATGTTGAGACAGGACTGTACTTGTTCAACATCTGCTCCATATACATTCTAATCTGTTGATTTTAGGTCATTTTAACCATGATAAATGGGAAGAGCACCCCCATAAATGGCTAAATATAAAATTTGGTGTTTCTATTATAAGAGTATTCATTTCATGACAATTAAGCAAGTCTCCTCTTCAGTCTAAAATTGGCCTTTCAAATACCTTGTGACAAAAGGTTAAAAAGCAATTTTTTTCAATTTTGAAGTGGAATAATCCAGAAGATATCCATTCTATCACTCCTCCTCCAAAAAAAAAAATTAGGCATGTTACTGGTATAGTCATAATGTGATATTTGAAATTTGGGATGAATGTGGGTCTTATTTCCAGTTTTATGAAATGTCAAACCTCAGGTTATGAGTTGTATGCACGTCGTTGCAGAGTGTTTGATTTATAAAACTTGCATATTCAGACTGAATTTATTTAAGAAATATGCAGTGATACTATCTGTAATTTTATCATTAATTTCTTTGTTATGTACCTAACAAGCTAGTATAATTTTAACTTTTGTTCTTAATTGCTTTTTAAAATATAGGGGTCCAAATATGGTATTTTGTCCTAATTCATAATAGACAAAAAAAAGTTGAGCACGTGTAAAAATAAAAATAAATTTGCCAAAATTAAATGGATTGAGCTATTTTGATGAAATAAAAACTGCTAGGTTTCTTTAATCATGTAGATTAAGAAGATGCAATCAGATAACACCTAATACCTGTTTGAAATTTTCATCTGTGATACCTACATATACCTTTTAAATCTGTAAAACATGAGTAATTTATTGGATAATGTCTTCTGGTAGCTGTTAATCTGTTTAATTATAAATATATAAATTTATTTTCTTCCCTCTAGATCAATATAGATAATTTTGTACAAACAGAATTGTACTTATTTGCTAAGATTAGCTCAATCTGTCTCCAAAACACATGGTTACAAGAATTGAGTATGGCACCACACAAAATGAGTGAGTGTCATATTACTGCAGCAATTGTACTCAAGAAAATGTTAATATTTTCCCGGGTTAACTAATGTTATTTATGTTCACATATATCTGGGGGCTTCTTTTAGATAACACTACTCATCAAATTTCCAACACTTTTCTTGGTATCTTTGTTTCGACCATGGAGCTGCTTAGGGCTGAAGTTGCAATTCTTATCAAATTTCTAAATCCCCCACATTCCAAAATTCAGTCTGATGATTTCTTGATAGCACTTCATATAGATATATTGGGTAAACTTGGACCTTTTATGCCTTAAGAGGAAAACTATTTTTTTTTTAATACCAATATTATTTTAAGTACCTTCATTCCTTGGCAATGCTTCTTTTAAAAAGCAATGATTAGAATTGTAATAAAACCTAAACATAAAATGAAAGTGAATTTATACACTTTCTTTGTTCTTGAAAATTGACAACAAAAATAATAAATGCTACTAAATTGTTTATTTGCAGTATTTATTATATTATTTAATGGAATGGTTGGCAAAACAGCTAATTGTCAGTCATTTCAAACTTTATAAAAAGGCAAATATGAATTTGCTTATAGTTGGTTTTTATATTTTAATAATTTAGTAATTGTTTATAAATTTATGAATAAAAATTTTCATATTTATTTCTTTATAAATTGGTAAATGATAAAAATAGCATTGCATTTGTTTTAATACAACTGTATTAGTTTTTAGAATGTTGTAAATATGAAAAATCTACTTGTAAATAAACATCCTAATAAATAAATTGAGTTTAATCTTGTATGTTGTAAATTCTCAAGAACATTAAAAAAATGTATAAATTCACTTTCATATGTTTAGGTACTTAAAATAATATTCGAGTTAACACTAGGATGGCCGAGGTGTTGTTTTCAACACCTTCAAATTTTCAACAAATTACTATGGAATAACTAGTTTTCGTTCGATGCTGAGGCTTATGGACAATTATTGAATTTTAGTAAAGATGATTAACAGACTTAATTCTTTAAAAAATATTCAGTGGAATAGCTGATATTTGAGTTTTTATCTTGAATGGCCGAGGTGTCGTTTTTTATAGGATAAATGCATTGAAAAATTTCTCACAAGCAATAATACTTGTGTTTATGTCCCTTATCTATCTATTTATCTATCTATCTATACACACACACATAATTTATATATATATATATATATATATATATAATCACTTTCTTTCAGTATGAGGTATACTAATATTTGTGAATTTCTTTTCAGACTTGTTATTCCTGACTTGAATATTGAATATATTAGAGATGGCTGCTTCACAGCGTAATGAAAATAAAGATGTCAAAGGAGCTGGTCATCCTAGTGTTAAGGGGGAAAACTTGATTTTTTTTTTTTTTTTTTTTTAGGCACAAAGGTCCATGTTTGCTATATATTGCTTTCTCATTGGAATGCTAAAGTGAATATAAATATTTCCAGCCTCCTTAGTTGCTGTGGGTATTTTATTTTTATGCTGGTTAAAAAAAAAAAGCAGGAAATTCAGATGTTGACTTTCAAGTTTGGGATGCTGGTCCTCCCTGCTTTTTTCATTCTTCTGTTTTAAGACGCATTTTGTTTTTTGTTTTTTCAAATTATGTATGTATATGTAAGATTAGACTACATGGATGAGTGAGGGATCCGTTGACTTCTAGACTGCAGTGATACATTATGGGATTGTGTAAAATAAATTTAAGATTACTCACAATTATGGACTTCTCCTCAAACATCAATCGGCACATCTCACTACCAGTGCTTACTCCACGTTTTTCCAAAGCTGGTCTCAGAATTTCAAAATCTGGCATGATGTAGAAACCTCCATATGGATTGATAGCTTTCACTCCGACAGCTGATAATTCTCTATAAAAAAAAAAAAAATGTTCAAATAGGAAATGTTTAATGTTCAAATGTAACATTGGAGAAAGAAATGTTTGGTTGTATTGGAAAATCTAAACAGGCTTCCAATAAAAATTGATAATTTTTGATTCGCTAAAAACGCCCCTTGTATATTAATTGATTTTTTTTTATGGCTTATCAACCTATTGCAGGTCATTTAAAGATACAAAATATTTGGTCATAATGATTTACTACTAATTAACCAATAACTGGTGGAAGAAGTGGAGGATTCTTACTTTTCTCCAAGAGAATATTATGAATCTGACTGGAATTTGGAACTCCAATTCCAAGCTATTATCTATTACACTACCCACACATTCAAGCTTACCTGGTCAGTACCTAGATGGCAAGATGTAGCATAATTTCTATGCTAACAGTTTATTTCCTCAAACTCCCTTCCGGCTCCCTGCTTTTCTGCTAACTTTAATCTGCAAAAATTTAAATTTTAATGTCAATCACTATCTACTTTTTCCTCTTCCCACTCATTATTAAAGTTTCTGTTCCTAATTTTTTCACACCTAGAAACCCCTTGTAGCTTAGTGGCTTTACTGACTTGCATGGGGTGAAACTGGTTTAAAAAAAAAAAAAAAAAATGAACACCCCAAACAATCATATTAAATATGCCAACTGTCGTTTTTGTCTCACTCTAACTATAGCTGCTTCGATTTGATATACTCAGTTCAAGGGAGGTAACTTTAGTACTAATGTACTAAAGTTACCTCCCTTGAACTGAGTATCAAAGCAAAGAAGCTATTCTCAAGTCCGGAATTGTAGGTAGGTATGAAAAATGCTGTCTCTAGCTTGTTAAAACATGTAGTATAATGGTTAACTAGGGCAGAAAGTAGTTTGTAAATTTTAATGCTTCCAAAACAAAACTACTTTCATTTAACCAACACAGAGAACATTTCCTGCCTTCCATAACATGACTGATGCTAGACTCCAGGAAAACAATTCACTGTGCTTTCTTGGCCTCTCATTTTCTGCTGACTTGAAGTGGAGCGACTACATCGAATCAATACCTGTATCTGCTGCTAAGAAGTTTGGGTCACTTTGTTGGGCTAAAAAATTTCTCTTGTCTGAATCCAACTTGCACATTTACAAATCCACCATTTGTCTGTGCATTCAATACTGCTGCCATATCTGGTCTGGTATTCCTACTCTACATCTGGAGATTCTTAACAAAATTCAAAGAAGGATTTGTAATGTAATCAATCCTGACCAGACATCCTGATTTCAGTCACTTTCTCACCGATGTTATGTAACTTCCCTCTGTCTTTTCTACAAATATTTTCATGGCAACTGCTCTGATGACTTTGTTTTTTCCTGTTGTCTCAACTACATGAATTTAAGCATGCAACTAGATTGGCAACTAGGTCCCACCGTTTTACTGTTGAAATAGTTAAATGCAACAGTTACTTCTACACCAACAATTTCTTTCCTCACACTTCCCACATGTGAAACCTCCTTCTGTTTACTTGCTTCCTTGATAACTACAATCTTCAAAAATTTAAATGCAACATCAATCACTCTTTTCTTGAATCTCGTTCATCTTCTGTTTTTTCCTCAATCCTCCCTATTCTCAGTCTCCGCTTTCATTTTTACTCCCTGTAATACCCTGCATGTTAGTGGCATTCCTGTATTGCTTGGGGTAAAATGATTAAAAAAAAAAAAAGCAAAAAAAAAAAACGAATATTTAAAAAAAAATAGTAAAAAAAGTCCATATCAGAAAGAAATCCGTCCATACACATTAAGATTGTAATACAAAGGTGTCTTGGAATTTAACCAACAATCACATAAAGACTAAGAGAGTATTTCAGAAGACACTTTATGGAATTGTTGGAACCATTTAAGAATACTAATAAATAAGTGTGGTGGTAGGTTAGAATAAGGATATTCTGGCTAGAAATATTTAAAAAATATTGCCAGAGAAAGAAGTTATCTCTCCTTGACTCTAACAAAATTGGCAATAAAAAAAATTATAAATATTCATGAGAATTAAAAACAGTCACTAGATCCGATGAGACTTGCACAAGACATTGTTAGGCAGATAAGTCAAACAGCCTCTTTGAACTCAAGGAAGTCAAAGTAACAAGACGCAGGTAATTCAGACTCATGGCAAAACCCAAACAGATAAGTACAAAAATTCATATTGCTTTTCAGTGTTTTGACAATAGATACCAACTTTGTATTAAGACTTTCAAATATAAATATAAAATATATATATATATATATATATATATATATATATATGCATGCAAGTGTTTGTTTTTTATACAAAGACTTGTGTTTTATTTGAATTTTTTTTTATATCTTTATGTTCATTCACTTTGTAAATGAAGTTGATGCTTCATATTCCCACACAACATAATTTCTGAGAAGCTGGGTGTATATTCAGGGTTTGAGAATAACTCAAACTGTACCAAGATGTTTTAAAAAAACCAGGAAATGAAAATTAATTGTTGGGCAGTAAGTTGAGTATTCCAGACTCAAAAGTAACATAAAATTGTGGGTAAACTGTCTGGAGTTCATATTTGTGGTGTTGTTTGTTCAAACAAATGTTTCAAATGTCTCAGTCATTTTCAAGGACCAATGTAGTTTTTGTAGGTAGGCAGAATTCCTTTGTCTACATCCTGGTATTTTTTTTAGATAGCTGAAAGTTTGAAACATGTCTAACAGTTATTGGGAGTGAGACCATACCAAAAAAAAGGATATGTTTTACATATATATGAATAGGGTCCAAATATGGATTGCAATCCGACAGAATGATAGGATTAAAAGCAAGTAGGAGACGTTTATCAATCTAACATGTTTCACGTTTATCAATCTAACATGTTTCACTCTCTCTCTATCTATTCTCTTTCTCTCTATTCTCTCTCTCTCTCTCTCTCTCTCTCTCTCTCTCTCTATATATATATATATATATATATATATATATATATATATATATATATATTTTTGTGTGGTGTGAATAAAGACAAAAAGGAAAACTTCATTTGCCTTGATAAAGTCTATCAGAGGATGAAATGCATTGATAAACGTTTTCCTTTTTTTTTTTTATTCATATTGTCTTTTTACAGACATTTTTAGTTATATCTTAATTTTTACACACACACACGCACCCACCTACATATATATGCACCTACAAAGATTCATTAAAAATTGAGCACTTGTGATTAAAAAGTGATCAATGGCTGATGAGCACACCTTTCCCCCTATACATGATCAGCCACAAAAACAACAAAGATGAGAAAAACAGTCCGAATATAAATAGTGCAAATAAAATACAGTGATTTCGAAATTCTTGCAAAAATCAAGTAATTGCCAGATTTTAATTAAACTTTAAAGACTTATTTACAAATGAATGTAATCACCAATTATTATTATTATTATTATTATTATTATTATTATTTTTGTAAAACAAGTTCCCAGTTTCAGAAAATCTTTTATCACAACATAAAAATGCAGTAAAACGTTATTTAATTAGAAAAGCTTTTAATTACTTTTGTGAATAAAATATATTATGGATATTATTGTCATAACAAAACATTTTTTTATAAACAATGAGTTTTTACAAGAATTGCTTTCATTTCTTTTGTTAAATTTTAATTACAATAATTTATAAAGTTATAAATCTTTTAAAATTCTGTATTAATTTCTAGCGGTTAGATGATATTGTTATTAAGTAAAAGCTAACTTTACTAATTAGAAATGGAAAAATTATTACAATTCAACGACCCTCCCCCCCAGTATTTAAAAAAATTCCTTTTGAAATACTGGGGGGTGGAGTCGTTGAATTGCAATAAATGTGAATCTTGCAAAAGCAGGGGAAATTAAGATTTCACATAAAATTTAAAAAATCTTAATTTCCATGCTTAAAGATCTGTGTGAGAATTACATGAATAATCATTACCGCTATCTGTATGTACACAAAATTTATTAAATTTCATATAAAACTACCTTCAGCGTATATCTGTGCCATTATTGTGACACTGGTAGAATAAAATTAGGATTAAAAGGGTTTATGTGAAAATGGGAATTGAAGAATTGGAAAGGTTAAAATCGTTAAGGTAAAAACACAAACTGAAATATGGAGCAAGGGAAAAGAAGAAAAATGTAAAAAATAAACTGAAAAACGAATTGACTTGTTATAAATCGTAAAGCCAGTAATGTAAACAGTAAGGAGTGTCATTTTGTAAAATGGGCAGAAAATTATTTGGGTCGTATTGGTAAATCGACAAAAAATAAATTCTTTGACGACAGGGACATAGAAAATAATTTATAAACACAAAGTTTGTTATCGGAAAAATTATTGTTTTGAATAAGTATAGTCGTCAGGACATATAAACAAAGTTTGTTGTCGAAGAATGTATTGTTTTGAATATGTGACTGCTTTGAGAGTCAGTGTCGTTTCTCCACAGTTGGAGAAAATAATTGATATGGATATTAATTATCGGCCGAAAAACGAATTAAGTTATTATAAATCGCGAAGACGATGACGTAATCAGTTTAAAATATATCCTGAGAAATGAGCAATGTGAACATTTTTGACATGAGAAAAATAATTTTTGAACCCAAAACTTTGTTGAGAAATGGTTAAAACAATATCAATAAACTAGAGACCAACGTAAGGAACACACTAAACATAAGCCAACGGAAAATTACAAAAGAAATTATTAACTGGTTTAACATCGCCAACATAAAACAACTGTTCTTTCATACAATTAAACATAAAATACTTATTAAGCGAAAAACAAAATAACACATACCACAATAAAAGTACAAAACAAGGAGCACACTAAGTAATGCTAAATAATAAAACCTGCTAAAAATACATATAACACACGCAAACACGAACGCATAAACATGTGCTTGCGAGTGTGTATGTGCATTTTTGTATGTATATATATGTATGCGTACATACATAGGCTCACACATAAACACACACCTGCACAAACATAGATACACAAAAAAACTCCAACAATAACCTAAATTAAATGGTCAAAACAATAGCAAGAAACCAGAGATCAACGGAGAAAGTGAGGAAAGAAGAAAAGAAATAAAAAAAGGAAGGGCGAGAAGTCAACAACCAATCAACGCTCATCAAGCGAAAAGTAAACTAATGCTCTATCTCTGACTTCGATATTAAGCACTTTATCACAAACTTGTCTCAAATGCCCCCTTATCAGCAAACCACTGAAAAAACAGCAATTTTGCCTCCAAAAACAGTATTTCAAGTTAATACCACACACACACACACACACACACACACACATACATATATATATACACACATATATATATATATATATATATATATATATATATATATATATGTGTGTGTGTGTGTGTGGCTACCTGATGATTGTGTGAAAACACATGAAAGTAATAGTAGCGGCCAGTCACTGCTAACCAGGTTATTTGAATTATATATATATATATATATATATATATATATATATATATATATATATATATAACAGCTGGTTGCAGCTTCAGTTTTATTACTCTACCTTTTTAATTCTTTAAATCAGGCGGAACTTTTTTCTATTGTAGCGTGACGTATACCTTACGTAAAAAATAGGTATATAGTACATAATTAGTATATAGATACTGACAATTGTATACTTACTTATAACAAAAATCTCCAGCTGCTGCCATAATTCGTCGTACATGGTGCAAATAATCTGCAAACTGCTCCTCCGATTTCAGCATCTGATTTGAAAAGACACATTAAATAGAAAAGAAAAAAGAAAAAAGTTAAATGACTCACATAACAGTACATATTTCATGTTATTTATATCTATCTATTTATATATAAAATTCTGTGACTTTCATTTAATCCGTCCATCTGTCACCCTCTCATACATTGACTGATCGAAACCAAATTTACTACTGCAATGTACCATGTTTGGAACAGGATGGGTGATATTAATCCCAAGAATAAAGTTTATTCTTAAACCTTCTGAATATAATTTCGAATGGACAAGAATCCAGTTTCCAGTTAGCCCTGCGTTTGAAAAAACTGTTAACAAATCACAAGGCCAAACGCTTCAAAAAGTTAGAATTTGGCCCCAGATAGAAACATTTACGCATGATCAGTTGTATGTTGCATGCTCTAGAGTAAGAAATCCTTAGAATTAATTCTACACTGTTATAAAGGAAAAAATATTTCTTTAAAAAATATTGTTTACCATGAAGTCCTATAAAATTAAATTAAAGAAATTATTAAACCGCGAAGTAGTGTTTTTGTCAAGCAAATCAGCTTATTCAAATTTCATCGATTGGTTTGTGAAATTGAACGAAACGTAGAGTTTGTAAATCTCGAAAAAAATGTTAGCGACAATTTCAACAATATTAAATACTGTGTTGCAAGAATAAAATCTAGCATAATAAAAGCTGATCCTCTAACCATCACAGCAACAACCGTAGTTAAGTTTTGAAACTCCACGTTCATTACAGCAATGGATTAAAGCGATTGTTTGGTGACATAGTAATTGTGAGTTCAATCCTCGAGTCGTGTAGTTTGTATTTTTGAGTAATACTAAATAGAAATAAGTACCCGATATCTGTATAACAGTCTAAACCCGTAATTCATTTCAGAATTTCCTCTAGTTTACCCATATATAGATATAAACGATGTAATCCCGACAGCAACAAAGATGAGTACAATAGTCCGAATATTTATAGTTTAATCAATTTTTAACACCCAACGTTCGCTGCGAATTTACTTCGTTTTGATTCCAGTTTAATTTCCGATACACAAATATGGATGGAGAGCGAATCGATCGAAATCATGTTTAAATCGACTAAAGACAATGATGAGTCTTCTTACCGGACTTATTCAACCTATGCAGTGAAGCAACTCTGAAAGAATTAGAAGTTCAACCAAGACTCGTTATTGAAATCTACTATCTTAACAACATTAGATGACACTATTTACATTATTCAGACTATTGTCCTCATCTTTGTCGCCATATTTATTATAACGTTTCAGCCGTTGTACTCTCCGGCCTTCTTCAGGTGGTTGGAATGTCAAACTTTATTTCGCTCACTGGAGTAGACTCTTTTAGTTCCACGTGCCATGTTTAATGTCAGTTATCAGTTATCTCCTGTTAATTCCCCTCTCCAAGTTCTCCACTGCCTTAACCGGGTATTGAACACACACTCTTTGGGTCCTATCACTGGATCTAACTAACGCCTTTATCCACTGTGCCATGTGTCCTTGAATATATATGGCGACAAAGATGAGGACAATAGTCCGAATAATGTAAATAGTGTACATAATACCTCATCTCAGAAATATAGACAGATTAGATGACACAGTGTTGATAGCAGACATGGAAAGAAAACTACAAGAACTCCTACAAAAAGTAGTGAAGGAAATCAAGAAGAAAGGACTAAACATAATTACAAAGAGACCTTTTTTAAACTTGTACAAATATTTTAGGTTGTCATTGAATGAAAATATACATACGTACACGCAAGCGTACATACACACATGATGTGAATGAAACTGAAAAAGTTCTGTGTTGTTCCGACAACAACCAATGGGTAACAGGAAAAGTGTTTTAGCCGAAATGTGCGTTACTTTGAAGTTATTTTATGAATATTTTTATATTTAAAATGGAGACATTTGCTAATAAAGGTAGTATTTTAAATGGACAAACAATTTAGATTTGAACTTTCAGACACCTAACTATTTAATCCCTAAATGGGTTATCATTTACGTTTAACAGGTACTTTAAGGAAGATGTATATTCACAAAAAAAAAAATTAAAAAATAAAATAAGATAATATAAAATAAAAATAAAAAGACAGTGTCGGAGTTAACTCCTCTTTAATTTCTTGATTGTTCACTAGGGTACGCTCTCCCTGCACTATAAATACTGGGCGACTTATCACCTCGTTCTCTCTTTCTACTTTCAGCGGACACATTTAAAAATGTGATCTCTCGTAGAGATCAGCGTTTTCGCCCACTTGCCGGAAAACGCCATGAAACACACATACACGTACGTACGAACATTCACCAATATACATACTTTTTACGTTCACACACAAACACAAATGTTAATGTCTTTGTTACTTGTAAATTTGTTGTTTAATACATATACTTGTTGATATATGTATATCGATCTTGTTTGTTTTCTTTACATCTTCGGTTGGACTCAACGTGATGTAAAAAAAACAACAATATATATATATATATATATATATATATATATATATATATATATATATATATATATCGATCTTGTTTGTTTTCTTTACATCTTCGGTTGGACTCAACTTGAGTCCGGCATGTTCTTGTAGTTGGACCTTCTTCTAGCAGGAAATAAACAGCGCGAGTTTCTAATTCAACAACAGGAAACCCCACACAGGTCCGCTACAATAGCTTAACTGAGATGTTCACTTTCACCCAAATTCCTTTGGAAAAGGTCTGAATCCATCTCTTCTCTCCCCAGCTTTGGATTAAATAGCGGGGTTGACTGTGATCTGTTGCCTTGGCGTGGCAACCAGTCTAGAATAAGGATAAAACTAGTCTAGAGGTATGGGCTCCGTCAGGGTATCTTACACTAGACACACCACTGCTTCTAAGGCCGCAGTACAAGTGGTGTACCTATGGCATTAACGGAATATGGGACTCATGAGGTTATTTATCGTGACGTGATAAATACGTGACGTAAGATAAGTAGCAGTAGACCTACTTCTTTTATGTATCATGTCCCTTCAGGACGTTGGCGACCATGCCTCTCCACAATTTTCTGTCTTCTTAATAGATTTTGCCTTTTTGTTATCTCTCCGAAACTTTGTTCTACCATCCATTTACTCAAGCATGATAGGTAGGTTATGCATTGTTTTCCTCTATCCCCCCCGTCTTCAATCTGTCCCGTGAGTATCAAATTTCCCAATGTCTTTCTTCATTATGCGCCCTGTCTTTTCCTAATGTTAAGTATAAGTTTCTTTTTGGTTTCTGTTTTCTCTAAAACTTAGTCGTTACTCACATGGTATTCTCAGCATCCTTCTGTAGAACCACATTACTGTTGCTTCAAGTCTCTTCTTGATCTTTGAGGAGATTGTCCAGCACTCAGTACCATATAGGATGACAGATATCACGCAACAGTTTAGTACTCTTTTCCTTGTTTCTAGTTAGATTTTTCTGTTTCTTAGTACTCTGCTTATCTCTTGGAATGCATCTTTGGCTATTCCAATACGCCTTCGGATTTCAGTGTCACACTTCCCGTCCTCTGTTAAAACACTTTCCAGATATTTAATTTTCTGCATTTGTTTGATTTGTAATTCGCAATTTGGGTTCATTCTTACGTGAGTTTATAAAAGCTTATGATACTTCGCCTAGAATAAAAGTTGAGCAAATTCTATTTTAATTTAGGTCCAGAAGAGTACCGTTTTGTCTGAAGTGTCAAGTCTCCTCTTCAACTCTGAGAAGATTGTCCAGCATTCACTGCCATACAGGAGGACTAATATCACGTAATAGTTCAGTACTCTTTTCTTTGTATCTAACAAAATGTTCCCGTTTCTTAATACTTTGCTTAGATTTCGGAAGGCATCTTTCATTATCCCAATGCGCCTTCGGATATCAGTGTCGCCAATCAGTGTTTCTGCTCTCTGTTACAACGATTCCCAGATATTGATTTTGGTATCTCTAATTTGTAATTTGCGTGTTGGGCTGTTAAATTTGTTGACAACTATGCATTTTATTTTCTTGCAAAGTATGCTTAGTCCTTTCTTCTCGCTTTCCTTCACTACCTTCTATAGATGCTCATGTAGGAAAAGTAAAAAAATATGCATTCAAAACTAGTCTTCAGGGTGTCTTGCACTAGATACTACTGCTGCAGTAAATGTGGTACCCCTACGGCACTAATGGAATACAGGATTGGTGCAGTGACGTATGGAAATACAAGTAACAGTAGTTCTACTAAATCTAACTAACTTGAACTATTTCTGCATTGTCAGTGATAATTAATTTTAAACTCGTATTTCTTTAATCTGATGTTATTAATTATATTCAGCGTATTTGGCACAGTAGTTGTGATAAAACGACGCCTTTTGATGCGCCGAATTTAAACTTCAAAAAAGCCTTTAATACAATCACTCATGACAGCTTGTATATCAACCTTTTTTTTTGTTTTTTGTAAGTGAAATAATTAATAACATAGATTGCTGGCAGGAAGACTTTCTTTCTTCATTACAGTCTGTCTAAAGCGATCATATTGTTACATTCTTTCTAAAACCAGATCTTCTGATTCATGTTACACTAATTTCAACCATTGGCTAGATGTGAACGCTTCGAATGCCAAGACTAAAATAAATTCCGTCAACTGTGCATAGGTTCCGCACATACCGTCTGTATTTACTCACACACTAAAAAAATAAGTAATACAATCCAGAATTTCCGCCCAATAGCACCCACTCCTGCCTAAAGAAACAAAATATAAACCGGAGCCAATCTGAGCATAAGAAAGGACATAAAAGGACATCAAACAGTCATTTTCGGCAGTTGGACGACCCGGGTTCAGAAACTTCGTCGGAAAGCGACTTCCCATTTCTAAGAGACACCTCGCCAAAGGCTGTCTCTCCAGTAAATCATAATTCATCCTTCCTCTTCTTCCACCCGCCTCTGTTGATGCATTTTACAACTGCACTTAGCTCCTTTTTTCAGTTAGAGACATTTACACCGATTTATCACTTGTATT